AGACATACACATTTTATAGAACAATTCTGCTTTTATTTCATAGCTTACAGTCTTTCGGCTGTTGATAAAGGGAATGTTAAGTTATTCATTACCTCAGTTAATGTTTAATCAGCTTGATATTGGATTTAGGAAGTGGGGCAAAGGGGAATAAGATAAAATGACTTGACTGTCCTCAGGGAGCTCACTCTGCTTGAGGAGACAGTGCTTTACCAGAGTGCATGGGAGCTGGAGAAGAGGGAATACCTAGACCACAGTAGTGGTGGACATCCATTCCTTGCCAGGGGCTAAGGTCTTGCTCAAGCAGATGAGAAAAAAAAGTCATTACCAGCAGAAGCAGCAGTTTGTACAAAAGCATGTCAAATGCAAGTTGGCATGAGGGTCTGTGGAGTTAGGGACAGTGGAAGAAGAGGAAACCAGAAAGGTAAAGGGCTAAATCATGAAAGACATAGAAGACTCCACCAAACGCTTGGACTTTATCCTTTTAGTGATGAAAAGTAGTAAAGAAGGGTTTTAAGCATGGACAGATGCATGGACAGACCCTTTAGAAAGGTGGCTCTTGAATGGGTGTGTGAAGGAGATCTTAGAGGACTGGAATGGAGGGAGAGAGACCTGGCTAGGTTGCTAGGTGCAGAAGGGGATGCTGTTTGAACAGAGGCCTGAATTAAACCAGAGGATTGAGAGGAAGGGGAGAAAGTCAACATATACTAAGGAAGCAGAATGTGTGCAGCTTGATGATTATTTTTTTGGAGGAGGGGAGTGTGTGTTAGAAGTTGTCATTAAATGATGGTCCGTTGTACTCAGAGATTAGGAGATGTTTGCTTGGTCAGGCTAAATAAGTCTTAAAACTAGAAGACAATTTCTCAAATCAGAGCACAGTGTGTCCTTGGAGGTCTGATGCACATTTCTCCTACCTCTACTTTTATCTTGTAATTAAATAGAAGAACCTTTTCGCTTATTTTATAAATCATTTTATGAGTAGTACTATACATCTAAGGATTTCAGAAGTCTGTCAATAACACATCCCCTGCTAATGGAGAAAACCCAAAGGTCCACTCAGTATCAAATGTTCCACATGCCAGAGACTGTGTATTATTTAACAAGTTGAGGAGAACACAGTGCTTGCTCTCCAGGAGCTGAACATCTGAGATAGAGATAGACACTGTGAAGGAGATGTTAGAAACAATATCTGCCTTACATTATCCACAGGGGAATTTGGTCTGAGTTGCTACTCTAGAGTTATGGCCAGATGTTAGCAGTTTTGATAGCTTCAGTAAAATGCTTTATTCTTTGAAGATTGAAGGCGGAGTGTAGTAATTGAGAGCCTGAGTTCTGGGCACCTGACTTCCTGGATCTGCCACTTATTATATGGGTCACCTTGGGCAAATTCCTGAATCTCTGTGATTCCCTTCATTATTTGTAAGATGAGGATTGTAGTAGTGTCTGCCTTAGGATTACTGAGAGGGTTAAATGGGAAATGTATGTGTTGTGCGTAGCATACTTGCATGCAATAAATACTCACTGCTGATCATTTCCTGAAGGCAAAGTGAAGCCTCCTCTAAGACTCTGTTGAGAAAGATGTGCTCTGTGAGTTCCAGGGATCTATTGCTTTCCTTCTGCCTGAAAGCTGTTGTGGCTAACCCTGAGATCCTTTGTAGTCACTTTATGTTAATTGGAAAGAAAATTCTGGAACATGCTTTCTTTGGGCCAGATTAATAAGTCTTTGAATTTTCAAGTTACCTCTTTGATCACATCATAAATGATTGGTTTTTGCTTTAGGAAACGTTCAGAAACAAGTCTGAAGGCTAGCAGGTGGCAAGTAACACCTCAGAGGAGATTGAGACATCACTGCCTCTCTGAAACCTTGCCTTGATATCCGTCACCTCCATCTTCATTTGAGTTCAACACACAATAATTGAGCACTGCTACTTTTCAGTTCTGTATTGGGCTTCAGGGGTGCAAGGGTGAACATATAATTCCCATCCTCCTGATAATTAGTCTATTGGAAATATATGTAAATAAATTCAGTCCAGTGTTAATACTAGCACAAATGGAAGGGCGTAGAAGATCAGAGGGGTACACAGGAAAAATAGTAAGGAAAGTTTCACAGGTTTGGCGACATCTCAGTAGATTTTGAATGGAATGAGAAGGGGGGAGAATCCCCAGGTCAGCATGGTTTGTATAGGAGATAGACCATATGTTGGGGGAGTGGTGGTGATGCGAGATGAAATTGGAGATAGAAGTGGGAACTGGATCTTGAAAAGGTTGGCCTTTGTCATGTGGGCATTGGGAGCCATTGAGTGATTTTAAGCAACAGAATGCTGTAAGACTTGCATTTTTAGCAAGATCTTCCTAGTATAGAAGGTGAATTTGAGAAAGATGTCGGAGACGATGGAGGGTTTGTGTCTCCAGTGCAGATTCATGGAGGCCAGCGACAGAGTCCTATTTACCTAGGACTCTGTCCCTAACATCTAGTACTTTATAGTACTTTATAGACACTTAAAAAGTTTTTCAGAATAAAGATAGACCAAGTTGAATTTTCCAATTCTGCATCCCATCCTCAGAACATGCTGACCTGGACCTCCATCTGTCATGAGCAGCTTGACTAAGATCATAATAAATTATTTTTTCTTGGCATTCTTTTAACTGGCACTCTCTATTTACCAGCCCCTCTGTGCAACGATAGCATGGTGATGATTGATGCTTATAATTCTGACCCTGAGGTACTTCAAGTCTTCTAAATCATCAAAAAAAAGATTAAAGTATATTCAATATCGCTGTAATGTTTATGTGTTTTCCTAGTTCTTATTCTTCGGAAATTGATGGTTTCTTAAGTGCCTATGTCCTCTTGTGCACACAGGCGCAGGGGGAGTCTGTGATCGCTCCCAACCCCTCACTCCCTTGCAGGGCCAGGTGCAGGGAGTTTGTTAGCGACGCATGTGCAGAAATAAGCCACACACACCTGGGTTCTCTTCACGCCTAGAAGGAGGAAGCAGGTTGGCCCCTGGAGGGGCAGACCAGACAGGGACAAGAGAGCAAACAGTGGCTGGAAAAACAGTGGGAGTGCTAAAGCCAGAGCTGGTACAGATGAGCAAGACCGGCAGTTTACAGCAAGTGCACGCTGTGGCCGAGCCCAGGAGGGGCAGGGCTCCAGGCTGGGACCCCAGCTCCGCGTTGTTGTGTGCCGTGACCCGAATCACCAGGCTGGGAGCTGACAGGATTCTCTGCCGGCTACGTTTGTCTTGTGGTAACAGCTGCCCAGTAAAACACCAAACGTGAGCAAGTGAAAATGTCAATAATGAGAGCATCCTGTCCACCCCCTCCCCTCCCCACCCGCACACACACATCTCTTCGTGAGAACCATTGTTCCTGCAGAGCTGACAATATTGCTTGGCCCAGAATGAAGAAGTCCAAGTAGAAGCTGTGAGATGGCTCCATCTTATAACCGGGTTTCTAAAGAGAAGGCCTGTGATGATGCTACCAGGAAGGAGATTTGCTGTTTGGGGTATCTTCTGGGGGTTGTATGCTGCAGAAAGGAGAGATGCCTCTTTGCCTCTTACATTTTGTTGTACAGATTTGTTTTCAAAATCTGTGTTTGATCAACAAGCTATTCCTGTGTTGGGGTGCCACACTCATTCCAGCCTGGAGAGCAGGTCCCTAACCACAGGGATTTTGTTTGTCACTCACTAGGCAAGGGTATGTGTGGACTTCAGAGCTGACTTTACTATTTGCCAGCTCTGTGATTTGGGCCAGTTTCTTGGTATCTCTGGGGCTTAGTTTTTTCTTTTCCTGAAATGCAGAAATAATACAAATTCCTTCCCTACAGTGTTGGTGTGAGGCTAAAATAAAATGGTGGCTTTGGAAAGCCCTATGTAAAAAAAAAAAAAAAAAAAAAAAAAAGAGTATACCAAATATACTAAAGAACATCATGGATATTCTAATAAAGATTAGAAGTGTGTTTCGTTAGCAAGTACAGCATCCTCAGAAATTTCCCCGAAGCAGAGGGGGGAAATGAGCTGGTTATTAATTTCTTACTATGGAGTAGATGTTCTGGCCGTTACTTTATGCGCTCCGCGAGGTAGATATTAAATCCGTGCTTCTCAGATGAGCAAACAGAGGCCTCCACTCGCGCAGCCATACATACCGTAGCAGAACCTGTCTGACTCCAGAACGCAGTGCTTTCTCCTTATCTCTAGTTTTCAGCCATCTTCTAGACCTCCACGTCCCAGCCCACAAAGTTCCTAAACGTTGTTCACCTCCTTTGGGGTGGGGAAGCTGGCTAGCCATTTCCTGGTCATTCACTCCTGCAAGTGGGGGAGGGTGGGATCCAGAAGGAACCTCAGCTCCGGCAGCCCCGGAGGGACCAGGGCTGTGGGAGGTCGGGGCACGGGGCCCTCCCGGCCTGTCCCTCTCGAGTTCACCAGGCCTGGACTGAAAGCGAGGGGGCAGGCAGGCCACACTTCCCAGCCGGTGAGGAAATGGCTATGGCCCTTTCTCCAGAAACATTTTTTTTCCAGAGTTTCTGGGAGTTCCTCCTTTCTCCACGGAAGCGTTTTCCACCCTCGCTGAGGCGGCTTGGTGAGCTGCCTGCCTCTCCCACCCTCTTCTCAGGAACCAGGACCTCTTCTGTATTCCGACCAGCTCCTTGTTCTGCTCGCACAGGGAAGGAGGTTAAGTGTATTCCACGTAGTAACCACTCTGCTGAGCTTTTCCAGGTCCCTCCCTGTTAACTTTGATGCCAGGGCCTGGGAGGAGGGCATCACGATGCGGCAGTTCGCGGAGTGCCCTGTAGGACCCACCGTTGCACACATTCTCTTTTTCCCATAAAGTTTTCCCGCTTCCAGACGGACAGAGCGTGCCTGTGAACCAGAGCTGCCCACACAGAGAACCAGAGATAATGCCTGTTGTAGGGCCAAGTTGAAGATTCAGGGAGGATGTCAGTGTGTGGGAGAAGCATTTGTTCAGCCTGGATCTGAGAGGAGCTGTGTGTCGTGCTTCCATAGGTTCTCAACAGGAGGTGCGTAGAAGCTGCGGTGATGACAGGCCTGGCACTGAAGTGCCACATAAACAAGAAGTCTTTGTTTGACAGGAAGCACTACTTCTATGCAGACCTCCCTGTAAGTATGCTTTGTGGCCTGCCCTCCGTAAGTTCTCAGAGCCGGGGAGGGGGGCGCCGTTGGTGCGGGGGAGGGGGCTGTGCCTCTCATGTTTTCAGTCGGAGCTCTGTCCCTGCCAGCGGGTGGCTCTGCCTGGCCCTGATGAAGGCAGGTGCCCCCCGATGTTTACTAGATTGGATGCAGTTGTCCTGATTGCTGACTCCTTGCTTAGCCTCATGCTTCTGCTGGCTCCCTCATAATTGAACAGGGAGTAGACGCCAGTGTTCTCAGGCTCAGTCCAGCCGTGGTGTTTGGTGCTAATTGCCTGCGAGGTCACATCTAACTCTGTGGCTGATGCAACAGTGAATGCAGACTGTAGCTCTGGAGACAGAGTGATAGCTTCCCTCTTTGAAGTTGAAGTTACCAATAATAGGACTGTCCCCTCCAGGGACATTTCTGTCATCTCACAAGGAGCGAGTAAGTGGACAATAGTAAGCAGAAACATGAACCAGAAGCCTCGACTAACAACAGTAATTGGCTGTGCAGTAGGTCCAATATTAACCTGCTTTTTCCTTAAAATTATAAAGTTTCTTCTTTAGGAGAGGCCAGTGGGAACTAGAGCCAGTTTTTCTTGATGTTGAGCTGAACCAAAACTGTCACGTCCAGTGGGTTTCCCAAAATAATATTTCATTTGATCTGAGCCTCTGAGAGTAAGTGTGTCCTTTCTTCAGATCTAGAAAAAGGATAGTGATGATACTGCTTCACGTCACCCTCCTTGAACTGAAGATGAGGATGAGCTGGTCTTTAGAGGGTGAGGGCGGAAGTAGAATTAAATAAAAAATGCAGCCGCAACGTTATGTCTCCAATTGCTTGCTACCATTTTTCCCCTCTGGCTGCCAGCCTTTAGCAAATTCTGTTCCTTAGTAGGATGAAGGGAATGAAGCAGCGTTTTCCCCCATCTTTTGAGAATGATAATCAGTTTGGTGAAGGTAGGAGACTTAGCATTATGCGATGAATATGAGATGTTTTAGTTACCTATGGCTTTCTGTTCTCTCTGGCCCAGGTGGCTCAGATAACCAGAGTTAGTGTTGCCAGATATTATGTGGAACACACTTACACTAAGAAAGTATTTCTTGTTTATCTGCAGAAACAGTTTATTCAAATGTGAGTGTAACTGAGCATCCTGTGTTTCATTCAGCAGCCTGGTTCAGAGTTTAATTTTTACAGATTGAGACTTGCTGTTTCAGCACAGAGAATGAGTTGGCCTAACCGAGGTGGTTCTCAAAGTGTGGTCCCCATGCCACTAGGATCGCATCTCCTGGAAGCTTGTTAGAAATGTAAATCTCAGGCACTGTCCCCAGATCTGCAGAATCAGAGACTCTTTGGGTGGGCCACACAGTCTGCTTTGACCAGCCTGCCAGATGATTCTGATGCAAGGGAAGCTGGAAGAATGCTGGCCTGGTGGCTGAGAGCACAGACTCTGGAGCCAGACCATCCGTGTTCAAATCCTGACATGGATACTTACTAACCCTGTGGCTGTGGACAAGGCACTTAACCTCCTCCGTGCCCGCATGCCCCTCTCAGGGTTGTCATGAAGAGGATTAAATGGTGTAAAGAACTCCAGAAGCACTGTGGCTGCTTTGGCTGCCCCTCTGTGTCATCCAGTTCTCCAAATAGACCTCCCATCTCTTTACGGGGTATTGATGCCTATGGGCATTCGAAAGTCACTCGTCTTCTACTTAGAAGGAGGTGAGGGAGTCCTAGCAGCATCCATCGGTATCTTAGTACTGTGTGTTTTCTGTTGGCTGCGAATGAGCGTCAGAGCATTTTCTAGTAAGAGAAACGGGGGAAGTTGTTGGGTCAGGGAGGGCAGCTGGCATGACTGGTTAGCTTCAAGAGCAGGAACAAAACAAGCTTCAGTGCACTAGCAACTGCTGTCTGCCAGTGCGGAGAGTAGATGGCAGAGTGCTTAGCCAGTGCTTCCTAATAAGGAGGGTCTGTCAAGAGCCCAGTAATCAGATGCAGGGTTTAGGCTAATGAGCTAAGTGGAAACAATAAATTCTTCTCTTAGAGGCCTCTGACAATGGGATTATTGTTATTCCCCAAAATGGTACTTGGGTAGGGAAGATGGGATTTGTGTTGTTTATTGCATCATTACTGGGGGTGGGGGAGGTTCAGGGAAGGTAAGGGAGAGGGTGGGAAAAGCCAGAAGAGGCCAGGCTAAATTATGGTGCCCCTGCATAAACTAATTTTCCTCTGCTTTTTCCCTTTCTCTTTTGTTGTGTTGTATTTTTAAGTAAGTCTATAGTTTTGTGACATAAAAAGAAATAATGAACTGGATTTCAGCTTATATTTATGGCCTAGTGACTGTACCGCATGTTGTTTGCAGGCAGGCTACCAAATTACCCAACAGAGACTCCCGATTGCCGTGAATGGGAGCTTGGAGTACAGTGTCTGTGTGGGGAAGAAGCGGAGTCAGGTGATCACCAGGACCGCGAGGATCAAGCAGATCCAGCTGGAGCAAGACAGTGGCAAAAGCCTCCATGATGAGCTGCGGTCTCAGACACTCATTGATTTGAACAGGGCAGGTAGGCTCAGAGATTTTCTCTTCCTGTCCCTCTGGCCACCTCACTTCCCCTCTAGAGTTTTCCCAAACCAGTTGAGGAAACAGGCCCAAGAGTTTGACAGAACTCTATCAAATATCAGCGTTGGTATTGGCACAGCTGACTGGACTGTGATCACCCTTGAGTTTGCTAATGACCTACCCCCAAAGTGTGAATATTGTAGCCACCTGGTCACAGACTCAGTAGCTGATATCTCAAGCAGATGTTGAAAGAACCAAAGTTAACAATGAAAACGTGATGGGGAGGAGAAACCATTCAAAGGCTGGAGCCCATGTTGAGAGCCCATCAGTGACTCAGGATTTTCCTGAGGCTTCAGCCTAATGTATCTGCCAGTCATATTGGAGACCTGCCGTCAGGTAACTCTGCCTTGTCTTTGGTAGGAGTTGGCCTTCTGGAAGTGGTGCTGGAGCCTGACATGTCCTGCGGAGAAGAGGCAGCAACAGCTGTCAGGGAGCTGCAGCTGATACTTCAAGCCCTGGGGACTAGCCAGGCAAATATGGCAGGTAGAAGCCACAGAGGCTGTGTCCCCCCTCTTTTGCCTTCTCTTTTTTTTTTTTTTTTTTTGCCTTCTCTCTTTCAACCTCCCATATCTCTTCTCGCTGGAGGTTTGTTCTCTGTATCAGCTACACTGGGGTTGTTAATGGTGTTTTGTCAGCCTTCAGACCTCTGGGGTTTTTGTTTTCTCCTTAGACTTTTCCTTGGATTCTTTAATGAACCTCTGGTCAAAACTAAACACACTAACAACAGCACAGAGGCACTGAGCCCAGGAATATGAGATTAGGAGTTGTTAAAAGAAATTCGGCTGAGTAAATTTGAAGATCAGACTGGCTTTATTTAAAGATTCATGAATCAGGCAGCCTCCCATCTAGCAAGTAGAAAGGCGCTCCAAGATGCTGTACAAAATGGTAGGCTTTAATAGAGAGAAGGGGTGAAAAGGGACGTTTTCTAGCAGAGAGTGAATTGTTTCACGCAAGGTCTCATTTCTTTATGAGGAAGGTGAGGTTCTCTTATGCAGATTACCCTCACTAGTGTTGATTGGGAACTTTCAGGTCAGCTGGATAAAGGTCAGCCTCCCAGGAGAGGCTGAAACTGCGTGAAGTTTTGGTTTGCAGTAGTCAGGGCAGGTGACTTTGCTTTGGGTCTGTTGTTTGTTTTTCTGTCTTTTTCTTTTCTTTTCTTTTTTTCTTTTTTATTATTATTATTTTTTTAACACTCTAAGGCCTAGATATTTTCTTCTGATTTCTTATATCCAAATAGTGTTTTGTACCAAGTGAGGATCAGTAAAATAATGTGTTTGAATGGTTTCATCTATCTCAGAAGACACTATATTTATCCAGAATAGCTCTGAATTTGTGAGTTTCTGTGTAGGTAGCATTTAGTTGCTACTTGGTGCTTTTTCTCCGAGTCTCTCTTATTTTGTGAATTTTCATCCAGCTATAGCTGAAGTCAAATTATATCAAGTCTAAGGCAAGATTATGATTTCACAAAACTTTAACTTTGAGATAATATCTTCAGTTCATTAGAAATGTAGTAGAAAATCAAAAGAAACACTTGTGCCATTGAGGCTAAGCAAACTATACATTTTAAGTGTTTGCAAATTGGATATAAAATTACAAGCGTTGGTCAAACTCAGTTTCTTAAGGGCTCATTCATGGCCCCTTCCTAGCACTCCTTTGTCTACTCTTAAGTCCCTGAAAGCTAGCCTCTCCCATGATTGCCCCCTATTTTCTGTTCCCAGGGCTTTTAAAAAAAAACTCTTGGCACTCACAGAGCATTCCTTGAGCTGAGAAAGGCAGGAATGAAGAAAAGATACAGATTCTGCATATTGCAGTTGTTAATTCGTACCTCTGTACATTGGTGTACTAGAATATTCCAGAGAAATACAACCAATAGAATGTGTGTATATGTGCATGTATATGTTAAAATTGTATGTATGTATATAGATAAAGAGATTTATTCTAAGGAGTTGGCTGATGTAATAATGAAGGCTGAGAAGTCCCATGATCTGTAGGGAGAAGGCTGCAAGAAAGCAAGCTCCAGCCCAATTTTGAAGGCCTGAGAACCAGTAGAGCCAGTGGTGCAAGTTCCAGTTTGAAATGAATCCAAAGGCAGAAGAAGACTAGTATCCTGGCTGGAAGACAAGCAGGCAGGCAGAGAGAGCAAATTCCCTCCCACTCTACCTTTTGTTCTGGTCAGACCTTCGACAGATTGAATGAGGCCCACCCACAATGGCAAAGGCAGTCTGCTTTACTCAGTGTACCAATTCAGATGTTGCTCTCCTCCAGAAATACCCTTAAGACCCACCCAGAAGACTGTTTAACCAAATATCTGGGCACCTTATCACCCTGTCAAGTTGACCCATTAAAATTAACCATTGTAAAGTGGTCGTCATAGATGCCAGTAAATACCATTGAAGATGATGATTCATCTCCCTGTTGGTTCATAATACTAATTGCCAACCTTTTTATGTCATACAATACATCTGTGTGTTACAGAAGGACTTCTGAAATTGTAATGCCACATTTGTTGCATAAGACACGTTACAAGCAGCAAATTGTAACATCGAAGTCCTGGTACAAGTTGAATTTGGAGACAGAACTTGCGTATTTGCTATGTTCTTTAAACAAAAGACTGGGATAACACAACCACATGGGTATGAGTGGCATAAAAGCTGCCTACAGGTTTACTATATAGAAGTGAGGCTGTGTTGTGGAGTAAGAGAACTCTCCAGTTCACATTAATGGCTCATGCTTTTTTTACACACATAATGAATAACATAAGTGAAGTATGGGCTGGTTGGATGGTTATCCGCTTATGCACTGAGTGTTGATTCTCTATTGCTTTAAAAAAGTTTTTATTATTCCATTCTTCCTCAAAATGTCTGTGATTCCTCGCAAACCTATGGAATAATAAACAGGCCACCTGTTAGCTGAGAAATAGTCCCATCTGGGTCCTTGCCAAGAGATAAACCATAATGGCAAGAACTCATCAGTCAGTGACAGCTGAGAGGATTCATTAAATCTCATTTGTTGTGACACTTTTTGTTGCTTTTAAATACAAATCCAGCAGCTTTGCCACTAGCGCAGCAACAGAGTGGCTGCAGTTGTTCTAAAGTACTGTGGGGAGGGAAAGTCTGCCTGGAGTCTGCAGGGGTCCAGCTTTTTGTGCTGTTAGCATTTTACCATCCCCAACCCCTTTGCTCATCCTTGTGTCCCACCACCATAGGACCGCTGTGTTGGCATGGGAGACTGCATCCTGAGAACTGAGGACTACCCTAGAAGGGACAGTGGACCCCCAGAGTGCTCTTGGAATAAAGTTTAAATTGCTCTGGCCTGTGATTGAGTGAGTTCCTGATAGTTTTGATAATGAGCATGAATCAACTCAGCCTGGGTTCCAGAAGTCATTTCCTGCTCAGCGGACATTTGCCACTCTTGAGATCCTCAAAGCCGGCTGTTGAGTTGAATGTGTACTGGAGTAGATATTCACAGTGTTTCACTGATGATGTCTGTCACTTGGAATACTTAGCATGTGCTCATCAGTTCACTAGGCATTTTTTTTAAAGACTTATTTATTTGCTAAGACTCATTTATTTGAGAGAGAGAGAGAGAGGTAGAGGAGGGGCAGAGGGAGAAGGAGACAAGCAGAATTCTCACACTGCAGGGAGCCCAATGCTGGGCTCCATCCCAGGACCCTGAGATTGTGACCTGAGCCAAAATTAAGAGTCAGATGCTTAACTGACTGAGCCACCTAGGCACCCCTCACTCTCACTAAGCAATTTTAAAAAAATATTTATCATCTTGTTTAAACCTTACAGTATTCCTGGGAGGTAGGTGGTATTACGCCTGTTGTACAGGTGAAGAAGCTGAGGTTTAGAGAGATTGCTTGTTTGCCCAAGTCCCACCAGAAGTGACTGAGCTAGGATTTGAGCTCAGGTGTGTCTGAGTCCGGGAGCCCTTTCTGTAAGCCCTACATCACATTGCTTCTTAGTGGCAGCCACCAGTGTCCCAACTGCCATAGATGACAACTTAGAGAAGCAAGATGGCAGAGCATGGGTGCTGAGGCTGCTGCAGTCCCAGACCTGGGTTGGGACCCTATCCTACCCTCTTCTAGCCAAAGAACCTGGGCAAGAGATTCTGATTTCTCTGAGCTTCACTTTCCACATTTATAAAATGAGTCCCCAGATATATGGAAGAGGAAAGGAAGAAAATGAAGAGGAAAGGAAATCAGATAGAGTTGGGACAGCTGGTTGTGGTGTCACTGTGTACTGAGATGGGGAAGACTGGGCGAGGAATGGCTTTGTGTGGGAAAATCTGAAATTCCATTTTGGATGTGTTAAGTTTGAAATGCCTGAAGGATGTCTAAGTGGCTTTGTCTAAAGCTATATCGTAGGGAATGAACGTGATAAAGTACTAAAACTTATCACAGGCCCTGACAAAAAGCCAGTGCTCAGTAAGCGTTTGCTGCTTTTATTAGCAATAATAAATAGTATTACTTTTACAGAATCTCCACTCATTTTGGATAAATAAGCTTTGTGAAATACATTCAGTAAAATTTGGGGTATGTGTGTGTGTGTGTGTGTGTGTGTGTGTGTGTCAGTGTCAGAACTTGTTGAAGTCCTGGAGAGCTTCCAGTGATCAGAATGAGATAGCTTAACAGACCTCTCTAAATCCTCAGGCCCCTGCTGTTTACAGAAACAGTTTTCTGTCCTGATGTTATATTTCTGATGTGTGAATGTGTTTTAGAAAAAAAATATGTAGCTGTACCATATCACTGTGCTCAGTGGTATAGTTTTCTAGTTTTGCTGTTACAAATCTCTGCTTCTGGAGGGTAGAAATTGAGTTTGATAGCATTCTCATGATGTGTGAATGAAGGCCCTCCCTCAGTGTTGCAGAATGCATTGAAGTAAACCCGACTGGTAAGTCTTTTGTGCACTTGAAGCAATTTAACTTAATTTGTTTAAAAGGTATTTTGTCTTCACTGGGTAGAATATCTTTTGTTAATGTTTGGTACTATATTTGAATCCAGGCTAGTGGACTCTCTTTCAACACTGCAGGATACTAAATGATTCCTCTCAATTATGTAGTATGTATGGCCTTCTCTGGGAGAGACCGAAATTCATGCTTTTATTCCTTATCCAAGTTAAAATTCTAAATTGTGAATGATGGTTTCATTTTTAAAAGCAAGTGAGGCCCAATTCAGGGTTCCCTGAGTTCAAAAAAAGTTGTTTCCCAAGAATTGAGATTTGGTTGAGCAGAGCTCAGCATACGTTGGAAGTTTTCCTTTGAGCTGAATGGGCCTTTCAGATGATTCCAGCTGTAGATTAATCCTATTCAGACAGAACTTTAAAACTGATCAGGCTCTTTTGGTGAGATGGTAACCAATCTGCCTACTCTTTGCTTAGGAAAATACCAGAGTTTTGACTTGTTCAACAAGGTATTAATTTATTGAACAGTTACTCAGTGCCAGATCCAGCTCTAGACTCTGAATATAGCAGTGGAAAAGACATTATTGTTCCTGCTACGTAGAATTTATATCTATGAGGGAGATAAATACATTAATAAAGTGTAATAAAGTGGTAAGTGCTTTAAGGAAATAACCAGGATGCCATGATAAAGAATAACGTTGGAAAGTGAGGGCCTGGCAGAGGAAGTGACATTTATTTGAGACCTAAAGGATGACTCAAGGCCCTGGCCAGCATAGGACTAAGGGGTGAGCACTCTCGGGAAAAGCTAAAGCAAAGTCTCTGAGATGAGGAAAAGCTTAGAATATTCTGAGGTAACATAGGTAACACACGGCCACTGTAGGGAAAGGATAACAGGCAGGAGTGTGTGGCATCAAGTAAGACTGAAAAAAAAAGTAGACAAGGGATAGGTTGCCAGTAATAGTGAGAAGTTTGGATTTCATCCCAAGTGTACTGAGAAGTCATTGAAGGGCTTTCAAGCAAGGGATTGACATAGTCTAATGTTTTAGAAAACCACTCTGGCTGCTCTGTGGAAAGTGCATTTTAGTTGAGTAAGGGTGGTAGAAACAAAGAGACTAGTTAAGAAGTTTTTGCCATGGTCCAGATGAAAGATGATGCTGTTTTGAACACAGTGGTGTGGTAAGGTTGGAGAGATTAAGATGAGTAGATTCGAGGTAGATTTTAGAAGTAACAGGATTTTTTAACAGGCTGGTATGGAAATTAATGGGCCGGAAGAAATGAAGGATGTCTTCAAAGAAGCTTGAGGAGCTAGGTAGCGCTATGGACTGCAGCTAGGAAGATGAAGACAGGAATGGCTGCGTGGAGAGGAAATCAGGATTTAGTTCTGGAAAGTGAAGTGTCTGTGAGACCTCCAAGTGGAGATGTCAAGTAAATGGTGGAGGTAAGTATGAGACTCTAAGTAGAGGTCTGAGCAGAAGAGAGAAATTCAGGAGTCATCAGCACATTGATGGCATTTAAAACCACTTGCCCCTACAGAGGGAGTGCAAGAAGAGGGTCCTGAAGTGGATGGGAAGGCAAACACCAGCAAACGAGACGGAAGTAGAGTGTCCATGGAGGTAGGAGGGGAGACCAAGAATATATAAGGTCACAGCAGCTGAGAGAAGAAGATAGTTGAAGATCAGTTGGTATGTTGCATGCTGCTTGGGTGTCCAAAGAGGTGAAGACAGATCAGGTCCTGTGTCTGTTGCATTTGGCAGCCGGGAGGGAGGCCACTGGTGACTTTGAGGAGGCATTTTCAGAGAGGCGAGGATGGAAACCAAGAGCAGTTAGGAGCAAATGGGAGGTGAGATAGTAGAAACAAGCTGTGCCACGAGCAAGCAAAAACGTGTTCGAGAGGATTTGCTGGAAAGGAAGGCGGACAGACCATAGCTTAGTAACTGATGGAGGAAGAATGGGGCTCAAGGGACCAGGGTTTGGGGTTTTCGTTTTTTTCATGAGAGGTACTTTTGCATGTGTCTCTACTGGAAGTACTGTGGAGAAAGTGAGGTTAATGATGGATGTGGGAGAGAGGAGGTAGCTGAAAGAATGATGCTCTGGGGCAGGAAGATGGGTGAGGTTGGAAACCTGGGTGCACCCCTCCAGACCCTTCCATTCTGGTCTTAAGGGTAATATTAATTCAAAATAGACTGTAGTCGTGTGCTAAATTCTGGGGTATTGACTGTGTCTCTTCTCATAGTTCAGAGGAGCCACCAGTGGAGAGAGGCTTATTGATGAGAGCTTCTTGGGGGAAGGTCGTAACACTACAGTAGGACCCTGAAGGATGAGCAGAGGCTGAAGAAGAGACAGTAATACTCATGAAGAGGATGTGCTGGAGCCAGCAGACTGGGCAGGGACTCGTATAGAGAAATCAGAGCCTTCCCTTGATTGCAGGAAGGTTCTCTCATGGAATGAGTAGTGGGAAATTGTGGGTCATGTCAACCAAATCCGGGTGAGAGCTCTTCAATACCAGGCGGAGGAGATGAGATGGTCCAGTTGGAGCCGGCCCTGCACTTGAGCAAAAAAAGAGAAAGATGAAAACCACATTGGAGATGGACGAAAGTCACAGCAATATTCTGGCCAGATGGACAAGGATGGGTTGCTTTAGTAGAAGTCAGGGTGCAGTTCTGTAACTTGGTCTGAAGTTCTGAGTCCTCTGGAAAGGGCGGCAGCCGTGGATGTAGAGAGGCGGTGACAAATAGGAGGGGCATTAGAAGAGAAGAACTGACAGGTCCAGTTGTCTGTTTGGATATAGAGGGGAAAGAAAACAGGGCAGATGACTTCTGGTTTCTCAGACTAAGAATCTAATGATGTCAGGAATAGTTGGGACTTCTTGAAATTCAGGGAAGCATAAATTGTCAAAAATGTTGAGGAGTCCGTGCTAGAGACATAGAGTAACTTCTAAGCTGGAAGCACCTTTGCCCTGACAGTCAGCATGGGTGGCGTTGGGGCCGCACAGTGGGGGAGCTCATCCTTTGTTCTGAGGGAACAAGTGGAGACAGTAGGACAGACAGTGGCGACCGGCAGTCTCAAGCTTGGAGGAGGTCGAGCCCCACAGCTAAGTGTTTGGATAGGGAGCAACAGATACCAGAACTATGGACTTTCTTGGCATGGAATTTCCTGTTTCGTTATTTTAATATGATTTTGCTGTGGAATCTTGGAAAGTGAATTTATTCAGCCTATCAGAACTCTTAGGTTTGGCAGGTTCTTTTTAAATGTAAAAACTCACCTAGGAAAATAAAAGTCCAACATTTTGTCTTCTCCTTCTGCTCCGTTTGGAAATTGTAATTGAAATTGGAGCATAGAGAATTTAAACTTTACTTTGTGGGGTGTAAAATGTGATTGTTTTTTATCTTCATCTCCTTGGTTGTCTTTTAGGATTTTGCTTATCTCTCCTCTCAAGAGCCTCTTAGTCCTCTCCACAAACCACCTGTCTCCTTAGGGGTTATTGTTCCTAATCTAAAGGGGCTTTCTGAGTCAGAGAAGATCCTCCCCGAATGGGGGTGGCCCCCTCTGAGTTCTTCCACAGACTCACCCCTTCATAACAGCACTGTCTGCAGCAGCAGATCCTTACAGCAATCAGGAAGGATTCAGAGTCCTGCTTGTAGAAGGAAGAGATTAATATAGTACCCAGAGGAAAGAGGAAGAGACAAACCCAGGTTTCCGGCTCTTGCCCTTGAGTTGCAAATTCTCAAGGACTCTCATGGATCTCCTGGGATCACTATTGGAAATCCACTCTCCATTGGAGAGCTATGTAGGGTTATCCGATGATCATTTCTGATGCCTTCCCGCCCAGCTCAGCTCTGACACTCTGAATAAAAACTCAGGATAAAACTACAGAGTAATTCTCCATTTTAACAATGTTGTTTTTCTAATTTGGCACAAAAGAAATTAGATTTCTCCAGCTGGTATATCCAGAGTTTCTCCTCTCTCCTGCATGTGCGCAGGTGCACACACATGTGCACACACATATCTTCACATCTCAGATCCCGTAGGACTATAATTCTCTTAAGTGGACTGAAGTACCAGCCAAGTACCACATTCCACAGCAAGTGAAAGTACATATTGCTTGCCTAGAGACCATGTTGCCTCAAAGAATTTCTAAAGAGTTGTATTTTTTCTCTTCTTCCAGAGGGCCAGTTGAGAGTGGATGCTAATATATCTGTGCATCATCCTGGAGAGCCTTTGGGTGTTCGAACTGAAGTGAAGAATCTGAACAGCGCCAGGTTCTTGGCCAGAGCAATAGGTGAATGTCAGCTGTTAACTTTTAATATCCTTCTTTGTAGCAGTTACCTACTGCTTTGTAATAAGCCACCCCATACCTCAGTGGCTTGGGGTGGCTTGTTAACCATTTTAGCTTTTGCAGTTCTACTGATTAGATCCTGCCTCCACTCATTCATGTGCTTTGGAAGCTGGTAGCTTAAATGGAAACAAAAGGTCTAAGATGATGATGACCTAACTCACAAGTTGAGGCCTTGGTGCTAGAGGTCAGCTAGGTTTCTCTCCACGTTGTCCTTCTTCATTTGCTTGCCTACCCTGGGCCTTCTTGTTTGGCCAAGGGGCATTCCAGGGGGATGAAGGAAGAGGCCTCAAGGCTTCTCGAGTCCAGAGCTCAGAACTCTCCTAGTGTCTCTCCCAACACGTTCTATTCAAAGTGAATTGGATTTAGAGCAAATTCAAGGTGAGGAGAAATAGGCTCCATCTCTTAATGGGAGGATCTACAAAATGCTGTAGCTCTATTTTTCCATTTACCACATTCTTTCTGACCAGTGTGAACTTTATCAAATCATGTTTATTTATTATAGATTGGCCATAGTTTGACTTACTTAATTGGTTGGAATGTTTTTCTGCTTTTTACTGTTTTTACTAATAGATTCTTTGTGCTATATCATCAAGTTTGAGTCTTTTTTTTTTTTTAAAAGATTTTATTTATTTACTCATGAGAGACACAGAGAGAAAAGCAGAGACATAGGCAGAGAGAGAAGCAGGACTCAAGCCTGATGCCAGACTTGATCCCAGGACCCTGGGATCACGACCTGAACCAAAGTCAGACACTCAACCACTGAGCCATCTAGACATCCCTTGAGTTTGGGTCTTATTGGAGTTCATGCTGGGGGTACTTAGGTGTTGACAAATATAATAATTAAAATAGAACAGTTGAGCAAGATAAACATCCACACAGTCCCATAGAGATTGCTGACTATGAAGACATCTCAGAAGACTAAAAATATTCTTTAAAACCAAAAGTGTCTGGAGAGCAAGAGAGAATATAGGGATGGGATAGAGTTTCAAGTGTACCATTTAAGGATGCACAGAGCACAAGGCAGCTGAATGCATTGCTGTGTGTTTAGTAGAGTGCTGGGTCTGTTGAGAAAAGTATTGGAAACAATGCAGAAAAGATTCTCTGGTCTTACATAAAACCTTATCCCAAACCTGCAATGATCAGCCTCAGTGAAGATGCTTTGAGTCTACAAATTTTCAGGAAAAGGGCAGTAACATGGTCACGATGATAACTTACATAAGGGAAAGGGGTGTAAGGGAAGGTCTCCACCTATAAATGGACCAAAGACGATGGACTCTTCTGTCTGTAAAAGGAGATATGGTCCATGCTTATGAAGCCATGAAAGATTTGGGTCAAGGATACCCTTACAGCCCAGTTTTGTGAAGTGGAAGCTTGGAACAAATGGAAGAAAGTTCCACTTCACCCTGTGGTTAATAAGTATTCTGGAATTCATTATTCCAATAGCTGGTGATGATAACCTTAAAAAAAAAAAAGGCAGCAAGATTTTAAGTAGATTTATTCTTAATGATTTATGAAGGAGGACCCCCCCCCCAAGACAGAATTCTTCCTGTGTCCTGACTCAGACAGGAAGAACCACAGATTTACTATGATGGGCTTAATTCTCCAAGCCCATGATTTTTCTATCTTGTTTTTCTCCCTATATCATGCCTAGTAGCCATTATCCGATTTCAATCAAAGAGAGCATTGGAGTTGAGGGGTGGGATGGAAGACACATTTTGGTGTTTCTACTTCTTGTAAGCTCGGATAAAAGAGTTTGGATTTGGGTGAGGGAAGGTGGTACATGCTGGGGTGAGGAGTTTTGGGGGGAGGCTAAAGCAGCTCTCAGCAGCTTAACAGTTGTGTCTGTGTTTTGATTACCACAGTGTGCCTTGTTGGGTAATGAGGAAACATGGCATAAAACAGTGGCTCTTAATCATTCTGGACTCTCCAAAAAATGTACAAATGCACACACTCAAATTTTGTATATAATTTCAGGAGGTACCAGATCCCTTGAAGTATATCCTTCATCCCTGGATAGGAAATCTTGATAGGCAGCAACTCTGTATCTGAAGTTAGTTGGCCTAGATATTTTCCTAGCCCTCCTGCTGCTAAGAGCTGTAAACTGGACTGGGTCACTGTGAACCTGAGCTTTCTCAGAAAGTGAGGGAGCAGAGCTTCCTAAAAGGCCCTTTCCAGTACCATTGTCCTATGACAGCAGTGAGAAGAGAAGATAGCACATAAAGGAAGGATTGTTATAAACAACTTTTTTTTTCTTGTTTTTTTTTTTTTATTTAAAGATTGAGAAAGATTTCTAATTATTGCTTGATTGGATGAAAGAAATCAAAATATGATCCAAAATTATTGTTTGTCTTAGACTCTGAAATTGAGAGACAAATCAACGAACTTGAGAACGGACGTGAAATCCTGAATGAAACTCGCTCATTTGACTGCAAGCTGGGGTGAGTTTGCATTGACAAGCGTCTTGCACACAGGGGGTGGGGCTCCAGTCTGGGTTCACCTCACACCCGCCACGTGACCTTGAAGCAAGTACCTCACTCCTCTGCACTAAAACTTTCCTCACTAGTACAGTGAAGAAAATACCATACGCCACAGGATATTATACCCTGAAGGGCTGGTAAGAGGTTAAAACCGAACTAGACTTGTGCATAAATACTTCCAGTATAGCTTCCAGTTTACCACGTTGTGGCCAGAATTTTTACTTCCTTAAATTCTATCAGACTTAAGCTCTACCAGTTCAAGCTAGAGATAAAGAAAGCATAGAGGTGGTTATAGAGTTACCCTTTTATGTTTGTTTTGATAACTTTGACTCTAATATTCTGACTCTGAATTTTGAGGATTTTGTGCTTTTAGCAGAAAACTGAAAGAAGCTCAAAAGACTAGGGTTTGAGCTGGTTAGAAGCCAGAAACATTGAAGCAATTTCTTCTCTTTAAAAAAAAAAAAATCATTCTGAATATTTCTTTTGCATTAATATTTTTTGATGTAGTCATGTGAATATCTCTCCAAGGTCGAAGAGCTTGAATTTGCCTGTGTCCCTTATTGGTAGGGGAAACTTCCCTTTGCACATATGCTGGGCAATGCTGCATGCTATGTTTGCTTAACGTTTTCCTGTTTAACTATCATAGGTGCACCATCCCGATGAGGGACAAAGAAGGAAAACAAGACTACAGGTGGTTATTCCTCTTGTCAAAATACCATTATGTTTTTGGGTTTGGGGCAAATTTCAAATCCACTTGCAGAGTAACATAATGACCTGGATAGTGTTTAGAAACCACTTTCTGTTTGTATTGTTGCATGACGGAAAGCCTAGACTTCCTATTTTACATGTATCCTGAGAGAAAGAATGTTTTCTTGGTTTGGTAACTTCAGAGTGCCTTCAGCTGTTGGAAGACATTGTTGACTCACTCCTGCATGAGAGTTGTTATAATTGAGCTAAGAAGGGGCCTAGAATATTTATATTCAGTTACAAATTCGGTAACACACTAAAGATCCTTGAGAGGAAAGAAAAAAGAGATGCACATGTTAATGCCATTTCCCTTCACACCTTGGGTGATGCTATTTAATCAATAAACAAGTTGGACTTACTATGAGATCTAGAAGTAAAGCAAATAATAAGAATAGGCTTAAAGTAAATTAAGCCTTTTGTTCCCCATTGAGTTTTGCAGATTGTAAAGACTGAAGTTGTAAGCAACAAAGTTGTTGAGATTAGCCCACGGTTCAGGTTCCTTTGCAGGTTCAGGTTCCTTTGCAAAGCGCAGCTCTTGCTGTCACTGAGGAACAAATGTAGCATTGTGATGTAGGAAAGAAGCTTCTAAATCCTTAGTGTGAACCTCCCCTGAAGGGCTCCTCTTGAGTGTCAAAGTCAAGACTCTTTTAATCACTATAATCTTCTAGGTTCAGTTTGTTCTTCCCAAGAACATCTTTGGTCTCCAGTGTTGCCCCCCTACTCCTTTTATGCTGCTTTCTTACTCAGCATGGAATAAATAGGCAGGATTCAGGAACCCTCCCTTTGGTGTTCTCATGCCCTCAGAAGTCAGACTGATTCACAGCACAGATTCGGAATTGAGGTGATGGGTTGTTTGTACATCTGATCTCTCACCTTGGTGCTACCATTTGTTCTGCATTATCCTGTTTTTGCATAAGCCCTTTGACAAGTAGAAGTGGAAAGGAAATGTTAGATGCTGGAATGGAGCAGAGGGAAAGTCGTTACATGCAGTGGGACAGCAGATAGTTCCCATGTACTCCTTGGTATATACCAGATGCTGCATCTCCCCCCCCCCCACAGCACCCCTAATAACATCTTGCACTGCTGTGTGATTTGCATTTATTACCCAAGAAATGTTGAAAACTCAAACTAAACGGGTGTATCACAAACATGCCACAAAGAGTGTGGTACATTTGTTACAATCGACCTGAAATTGAGATTTTATTATTGACTAAAGTCCATAATTTACATCAGGGCTCACGCTTTATATTGTACATTCTGGAAGTTTTGACCAAACGGATGATGACACGCATCTTCCATTACAGTGTCATAGGCAGTAGTATACCTGTCTTAGAAAGCCCCTGTGCTCCGCTTACTCATCCTTCCCTCTTTGACTCTATAGTTTTAAGGCAAAATCTATTTATTCCACTTCTCAAGAAAGAAAGTTTTCATTTTCTTTGACTTTTCATTTATTTTCATAAATACTGCTAAGAATGGTAAGAATTTTTAAATGAGGAAAAGTCATTTTTCTACCTAATAAGTAAATTGTTCTCATTTGGTCCTAATTTTCCCAGCCTATGTCTTTGTGAATATATGCTTTATCCACGGTTACAAATCACAGTGTAGCATCAACCCTGTGTTATACCTTTTTCACTCACCATAGTTTATAAGCACGGAGAGGGGCAGGTCTGGTGATCGATCGCCTGACCTGCTGTGTACACTTGTACAAAGACTCATTCCTGAGAAACAGGAAGAATTGATATTCTGGGACATTAGAAAATATTTGGACTTTTTTATATTTTTATTTTTTAGATTTTATTGAGAGAGAGTGCATGAGCAAGCATGAGTGTGGGTGGGGGGTGGTAGAAGGAGAGGGACAAGCAAACTCCCTGTTGAGTAGGGAGTCTAACACGGAGCTCAGTCCTAGGACCCTGAGATCATGACCTAAGCCCAAGTCAGACACTTAACCAGCTGAGCCAACCAGGCGCCCCAGAAAATATTTGGAATTTTAATGTGACATCTAGAGACAAAACTTTCATATCAAGGATAGGGTTTTGTTTTGGGTTTTTTTTTTTTCCTATTAAACCTAATTCTTCTGAGTCATACTCCATATTCCCTCTCTGCCTAGGTTTATGCCCGAACCCAACCTGCCTCCCTTGCTGCTCTATGACACTGCGTCTTTGCCTCCTGGCGCAGACCCACAGCAAGTGATCAACATTGACAGGATTCGGGAGCAGCTCCCTGAGCTCCCCAGTGAGACCCGGGAGCAGCTTGTTCAACAGTATGGGATGCTACCAGAACACAGCTTCACCATACTGGTAGGTATTGATCAGAGGCTCGGACAGCCCCAGCTCAGCAGTTTGGGTGCTGCTCCACGTGAGCTCTGAGTACAGAAGGCAACTGCTTCAGGTTGTACTATAGATGCTTCAGAGAAGCAGCAGCTGTGATAACCTTTGCTCACTACCCTTTATGGTAAATACTCCTCATGAAACCAGAACATGAAGCAGAGTCTCATGTCAGTCATTTCTTGTGTGCAGAAGTGAACAGCTGTTCACAGCAGCCATGGAGGCTTCTGGAAGACAGTCCAAATGCTATGGATGAATGTTTTCCCATGTGTCTGCAGGACAAGAGAAAATCAATGTATAGGGCTTCTAGATGTCTAGCAGTATTGAACCATGACAGGGTCTGGCAGGAAGTTCGGTTCTCAAAAGCCAGCCAGCTGTTTCTCCAACTGTAGAAGAAAAACATTTATTCCGCACAAAATGTTGAAAACTCTGACTAAAAGTACCGGTCCTTTGAGGCTTGAGGATGCATCTTAAGGGGCCGTTAGAGAATCTGACACCACTGAGACCTGCTTAGGGATTTTCCATTCTTTTCAAAGCTGCTCAGGGCTTTGCAGTTCTCTTTGTCATGGCAACTTTAAAGTGCTGCAGCATCAGTGAGGGTAGGGTTTTGTCACAGTTGTCTTCTGCTTGTCTGTTAGGGAGGAAGTAGAAAGTTTTGCTGCTGCGTGTTTCAGGGACTGGGTGAATGTCGCACTTATCTTCTGGAGCAGCAGAGTCTGTGCACACTCTGGGTTTTTGTATTTTAATTGATTAATAATGACTGTATAGGGATGTGAGAACGTACATACTGATATACTTCAGTGACAGCAGCCCTGCCATTGCTGGTCCACGGTCAGCAAGCAAATATTTGTAGAATGAAAGATTTTCTCTTTATAAATCAGCTAATGGGAAAACTCTCCAGAGAATGTCCTGTGAAAACTCCTCTTTTCCTACCAGTAATGATGAGGCACGCACAGATGTGTTTTCATACTGCCTCCTATGGGCTGCCGTCGCACCTAGTCATATCTGTCTGATGGTTACATGGCTAGATTTTAATACTTTCTTAGTGTGACTTGTTCAGCACTTGGCAGGCAAGCACTGGGTCACCCTCTAGCTCGCCGTCCCTCAGCATGGGCTGGCACAGCAGCAGCGCTTAACACCAAATCTTCGACTGTGCGAGTCAATCATCATTTCGGACAGAACACCTTTTAACCTGAAGCCTCTTACGACTCCAGCATTTTCCCTAGGCTGACTTAACCCAACTGAGTTTTCGTCCTATCTATCTTCCCTACGTCTGATGAATTTCCAGCCCACTGGAAATAAATCCCAAACTGAATTCTCAATGCTAAATTCCAGTCCTGCATTTGATAACTGCCAGATTACACAGGGGTTGGAGGTCCTGGGACAGAGCCTGCTGGGACTTAGCTTCCAAATTGTGAGTTACCTGCCTTCATTTGGCCTTCCACCAGGTGAACAGAGACAGCAAGTGAAGAAAACCCAGGTTTCTTGGCCATTTCTTTGCTCATGACTGTGATTTCAGAAAAGAATCCACTAAATATGATGTTAAAAGCTCTTCTTTGTATATTAACTTTCTTCTCAAGAGAGGCAAACAGACCTTTGAGCAACTCCTCTCAAGAATATGGCTATTTCTCTCCAAGGCACTGTCTGTAAACATATGCTCCCTTCAGAGAGCATATCTCTAGCACTGTCACACTTGGCCTCCGACAAGCATATGAGTGATGGTGGGGAGCATCTGTCTCCTCAAGGAAAGCCAGTCCTCTGAGGGCAAGGACATTCTCATACTCGTGTTTGTGTCCCATGCACCCTCACGTGTCCTTCACAGGAGGCCTTGCATAAATGTTTGCTGAGGGTGCCCCATGAGTGGGTCATGGTTTAAGGTCCTGTTGAGGGGAACCTGTCTTTCATCTGTTCAGTCCACGACTTTTATTTTGCATCTCCTATGTAGCAGGTACTCAGGGACAAAGATTTGGGGGGGAAAAAAGTTTCTTTGCTTTCCAAGAGTTTATTTATATACATAGACACACATGATGCAGCTAACCAGCCCCTGGGTCAGATTGCAAGAGATAGATGCATAATGTGTGATGGGAACCCAGGGAGGCAGTGATTACCTTGATTGGGATGAAAGGGAAAAACTAAAAGAAGGTGATTTTTGAGTCAGTTTTGAAGGGACTTACCTTTTAATATCTTAAAAAATACGCTTATTTTTATAGCTTGCAGGTAATGTATTAGGTACAAAAAAAGTGTGTGTGTGTGTGTGTGTGTGTGTGTGTGTGTGTGTGTGTGTGTTTTAAAGGGCTAGTACTTGGATTTTCAAGGATGAGTGGAAAGACAATTTAATAGCAGTGGAAAGAGAGTGATTCAGACAAATTGTTTTCCTGAAAGTGGGCATCCTCAGCTCTTTACGACTTTGTAATCATTGAAAGCTGAGTTACTGAGACCTGAAAATGATATATTCATGTTTTTTCCTGCCTTCATCAGAAACACAACAGATTGCTGAGAAGGGCAGATGCACAAATCTAATGAACCATCTTTCAATTTAAAGAGTGCCCAGGAGTATTCATTAAATAAATAGTGGTGGAGGTGTGCTTTGCAGAGCCTTGATTCCATGCTCTGTACCTTCAGATTGCTTATTCAGTTAAGCATTTAAGCACATATCCACCCTCACACACATGCCTCACCCACAAATAAGAAACACTTCAGAATTTAACTCTAGTCTTTAATTTATCTGGTCATTTTACTATGTGGTAAGCACTGACTTATGATTTATGCTTGATATTTACAGAACTCTAATATTTTAGCATCTACAACAGTGTCTGGTACATAGTAGGCATTCAGTGAATGTTCAGTGAGTGGACAAATGATACTGTTACAATACTCATGAAAGTCCTAGAAGCAGCAGCATTTCTGATAAAAGCATCCTTGTTTCTAAAGGTCAGATCCATAAACTGCTCTTGACTCCCTAGCAAATCATGGGATGATACCAGTCTCACTGAACTCTGGGTGAGAAGGACCTAGATCACCACTTTAACCATCCCTCTGTACTGTGTCCAGATGCAGGTCACTTGGCCTCTCTGACTCTTGCTTTCTGAACTGGTCCTTTTATGATATTAAATCCAGTCTACATCTTGGTTTTCTCTCTTAAACCCTCCTGACAGTCCCCTCCCAACAGAAAACCTGTAGTACTGTTTTTTCTTCCGGTCACGTTAAAAGTATGTTGCTCCACCTGAAACTTCAACCTGTTTAGTTCACCTTGCTTCCCTTTCTTATGTCAAATTGCCTTGATTGCTGACCTCATTTATAAGGATTAAGGAATAGAAATGTAGAAACTGAGATCCAGGTATTAGGATCCTGAAAAATGAGAGATTCTAATAGCATAGCAAGTCCTTCTCTGAGTCAGTATATCCCAAGAGTAATTATGAGAATGATGTAGATGATCTGCATGTACATTTTTCTTAGTAGATAATCCCAGAGCGATGTCTTAGGAAGAGATATCCCCACAGGTATCTGCCTTACCTGACTCAGAATGCAAACAAATTGTAGTCATTTGCTTAAGCAGGACAAGAAAATCACTGCTCCCTGACAACAGGTTCTGCAGTTTATAGCAGGTCACTTTGTCGTGAAGTAGGCTCCAGGCCCAGCATGGAGCCTAATGGAGGGGCAGGGGTGGGGGGCTTGAACTCTCAACCACTCTGAAATCAAGAGTCACATACTGAACCAACTGAGCCACCCAGACACCCCACGGGTCACTTTTTAATTTACCCTTACAACAGCGCTCTGATAAATATTGTTGTTCTCCCCATTTTATGGATAAGGAAACATAAACTGTGGTAGAGTGTAAGACATTGAGTAACTTAGCCAAGCCTCTGGGAGGCCAGGTTCAGTGGTCTGAAGTGACTTCAGGCCCCACGCTTTATTTACATGTCCAAGGTCTGCTGCCTGCCCACACATGTAATGTGCCACAATTCCAAACAGCAATGATGGTTCAAGTTCATTGCTGTTTTAGATCACTTGACAGAGAAAATAGAGTTTTTACTTTTGTTCATTCTAATGTTTCATACAGTCCCAGTAATGCTTCGTGAAACAGTCACAGACCATTGGTTCATTTAAAACTTCTGACCACTCTGCTTGGTTTTTAAGATGTCAGAATGCCTCATAAATAAAGAAGTAGTGCGCTCTCCTAAATTTAGTGAAAATCCATCAACTCCAATGAAAAACAGAAATTCTATCCATTTTCCAAGTAGAAAATTTAAGTCACAAAAAAGAGATGTCAGCTCTCCTCTGCAACTTTATTTTCATTCTCAAACTTGCTGCCTCAGGTTCTTGGCTCCTTCTGAATGAATCATTGAAAAGGTCTCCACAGAGGGCAGAATGCGGGGGGGCGGGGGGTGGTTGGTGAGGTTTGTGGGATGATTTTGCCTGTTGCCTCATGTCACGCAGTCCCGTAAACGGTAGGCACACGGTAAGGACCAGGTACGAGCTCACAGGGCAGCTGGCTGTGCACGAATTCAGTAGATGGAAAGATGTGAGTCTGATCAAGATTTCAGTGGAGGAATGGCGTAGCATTCCCAATTCAGTGTTTCTTGAGGGCCTGCTGTACTCACCACGGCTCCCTGTGCTGTTTTCAGGTTAAAGAGCTTTATCTTTTCCATGTCGCTTTTAACTCTCCCAAGTAGCCCTGCAGGGCAATGGGTTGAAACACTGAGAGAGAGACAGTCTTGATTTCAGATCTCACCTCTGACACCTGGGAGCCGGGAGGGCTCTGCAAAGGTAACTGGCACTGTTATCCTCCCCAGCTGAAAGAGGGAAGGGAATGATTCACTTCCCCCGAAGATGAGTGACACAGCAGAATCTTCACTGAATCTAAATACAGCCAAGCAGACTCCCTGGAATAAGGTGCCGGGGACAAGAGCACTGGCCCAAAATAGCCGCTAACACATTGAGAGCTGTGCAAGCGAACTTTTAAGAAAACTCCA